TGTAGGAAATTCACGTATGGGTTTCACTTGGTTTGAGTCAATCAAAATTCAATTTTCCGATATCATATGGCCCAAGTATTTTACAGTTCTAGCAGCTATGTGACATTTTCATTTGTTCAGCTTATGAAGCTTAGTCAAAACTTTATTTAAAATTTCATCATGCCTTTCCAGAGTGCTCGCATGAATCAAGATATCATCCACATGTGTTACACATCCTTCAATACCTGCTAAATTTCAACAAAATTAATTCTGAAATACTCAGGCGCACACGAGATTCCAAAAGAGAGCCTTTTAAAGAAAAAACGGCCATATGGCGTTATAAAAGTTGTCAACAATTGACTCTCCTTACTTTAATTTAATTTGGTAAAATCCGCTGGTTGCATCGAGTTCTGTGAAAAATTTTGACCCATTTAATTGAGCTAACGTGTGTTCTATTTTTAGAAGAGGATAATGTGACCGCAAAACGCTTTCGTTTAACTTGGTGTAGTAACAACAAAGACGTATAGAATCGCCCTTGTTAACACATACAATAGGGCTCACCCATGTAGTAGGCTCCTCGATTGGCTCAATAATTCCTAATTTTAGCAATCTAACAATTTCCACCTTTAATTTAGGCAAAAGTGGTAGAGGGACAGTTCGAGGAACTTTACACTTTTTATATTTCTCTTAGAAAAATTTAGAACATTAAACTTTATTATTGAATTTCTACTCAGTATGGGTTGTCTTAACTTTTTAATTGCATAAACAGTCTCACTTCTAGTAACACCCTCATAGGTAAAATCAACTTTCAGTTTACCAACGGTGTCGAGTTTATGGTCATCCGCAGCCCCAACTGCATCACACCTTTCAATTTTACTAGTATATTCACAAGGCAATTTTTCATAAGGAAAACAATTTACATCTGCCCCAGTGTCAACAAAAAAAGGAACTTTTAACTTATGGTCTAAAAGAATTTCTACATACCATCTGTCCTTATGATCAGTGTAAACCTGCCCTATGAAGGAACTGTCATCATTTTTTGTCACCTGTAGAACCTGCTGATCATGTTCGTCATCTGAGCTTCCGCTGCCACTCTCTGATTCAGGGTGTTCAACAACCCTTACAGACTTTTTTTTCTACACATACTACTCCAATGTCCCCTTCTGTCGCAAAATCTGCACACTGAAGTCTTTGCTGGACATTTTTCGCGGTCTACGCATGTAGGAATACCGCAGTAACCACATTTCTTCTCTTATACATTGTCTTTACCTTCTCTCTCTGATTTTTGAGGCATATTTCTGGTTTTGTTCCACTTTGACCTGTAAGAACTTTGATCAATTGCACTTACCGCCTGTTCTTGTCTCATAATTTTATTCTGATTTTCATGAAGTTCAGCCTGGCGCACCATCTGAATTGCTTTTTCCAGAGTCAAGGCTTCGTTTAGTTGCATCCGTTCACTAACTTTGACATCCGCTATCCCAAAAACAATTCTAACTCTAATGAGCTTGTAATGACCCGGGAAAATAGACCAGTAATTTACAATGTCTTTACTGTAGAAATTTTGTGTAATCAAATAATCAAAAACTGAATTACCTGTATTTCAAATCAGTATCAACAAATTGAAAATGAAACAAAATAACGTTGACCTCAAATTAATTAAAATATTTATATACGATCAAAATTTTATTATTTAGTCACCAAGAGTGATATCATCTCCTAAATCAAATCAATCAACATATTAAGAGCGAGGCCAAAGTTGTTAAATAGGTGATTTATGGCCGCACGTGTTGTCGGTTTTCTTTGAATTATAAGTCCTCACGTTCTTAAACCAAATCTGTTGACCCCGATAAACCAGGAAATTGCGACATAATTATTGGATTTTAAACAAATAACAAAGGAAGGTTGATCAATGATGAAATTAGGAATTTTGGGGGGACGAAACATAATTATAAATACAGCGATTTTAGAAGTCTTGAGATCAGTTGTCAGTTCAGTCCAGTTTGAGTTAAATCTACAGTACCTAATGAGTCAGTCCGGATAAAAATTCGCGAGAGTTTCTTTTATTTTATTGCCTCGGGAAAACGCGTTTGATTGAATCTTTGAAAAGGTAACGGAAAATTGTGAAAGAAAGAACATTTAAAGTCGTTCAACATTATGTACGAGCTCTAGAGATTCTCGAAGTAAATTAATTAATTAATTTTATCGAGTGACAATTTAAATGTAAGTGTAATGTGAGTGAATTGACTTTAAAAACTTTATTGCATAACTTCGATTGCCTTCGAGGATAATGACATTTTAATTTAATTTTGCAAAGAATTAACAAAGGAAAATTATAATGCTTTTAACAATATACGATTTTGAGTAGGAATTAATAATTAAATAATTGTGTTTATTGGCTAGGAATCCGAGTATAGTAATTGTATTGTTCAAAAATGATCCTTAGTGGAGGATGGAAACCACAAAAAGTAAAAGAATAAATCATTTAAAGTATGGAAAAAATTTTGTTTGAAAATTGTTGTTCAAGTACCATTGATGACCTTAAGTGCTAAAATTTTGAATTAGGGTTTTTCATTTAGAAATTATTGTAAGGGTTTTATAAAAATATAGTTGGTAATACATATATATTTAATCCAGTGAGTCGGATTATGACTTAAATAATTATTTTGCATAATCAGTCGGTAAAGGACTTGGGAATTTTAAGAATTTATAGATATAGGTGAAGGGTAGTTTTAATAGGAATGTGAATCGGAAGTGTTGTAATGTATAAACTTATAAGTTAGTAAGAATAGAAGAAGTAGGGCGTTATTTTTTTTTGTATAGATATTTCCTGGTCCGTCGTAATGAAATTTGAACGGATGTGAAATAATTCGAATTGGGAAAAATAGAAGTGGCTGTCAGACATAGAAAGATATTCGCTTTATTTTAATTTTGGTTTTAAGTATAATAAAATATAATTTAGTAAACCTCAATAGTTTGTTTCTCTCTTTTGCGAATAGACCCCCTCCACAATTTTATAGGTAGCCGCTCAAGGAGATAAACACCATCAATATACCGCTCGCCATTTACCTTCAACTAATCAAATAGAGTACTCGAGTGCGTTTTGCTACAAGCTCCTCTTTGAGAGCCCCATAGTTACAATGTTCAGCAAGTCCATACAGGTTTGTAATCAAATTTTCAACAGGTTCAGCTAGACGTTGGACTCTTGAATTAAACTGGTAGCGTTCGAAGATGATATTCTTTTTGGGTATAAAATGGTCTTCAAAGATCTTGAGTACATCATCGAAGGTTTCGTTACCTGTTAATGATTTTTGTAGCAAGATTTATTCGGCTTCACTACCCATTATGTACATAAACATCAATTTTTTCCTTATCTGTCTTCCTCCCATATCCGCTCACAGACATGTACCTTTCCAGGCGTTTCCTCCAGTGAGGCCAAGTTTGAGGCTGGGAAAAGTTGAACTCAGCCGGCGCAGTTACGTTCGCAAACGTTCCTGTCTGTACCGTATTTTGTGACATGTTTTCAAGTTACCAATGCAGTTTCCCGTGTATACCTCACTCTACCTGTATGATCCTTAGGTGTTTTTGCACGTCGCTGCAACCGCCGGCTCAGGCTTTGCCCCCGTTTTCCGTGCGATTTCGACTGTCAAAAAAAAATGACGGAGGACGAAAAGTTCGATCACTCTTTACACGCTTAATACGATAGAACACCGATTGCCACCATGTCGTATCATTATTACCATCTTGGAAGGTCTAGGTAGGGACGAATAAATTGAAGACGTAAACCTGAAATGCTGGTTTTCTGTCCACCTGGCTATCCACGAACCAGTTGCCAGAAAACTTAGAGCAGGAAAGCGCTGTCCTACGGACATAAGGAGTAGGAACGCGCCATTCTGCCTATGAAACTAAAGTGAAGCCAAGTTTTTGGCAGGTGTTTGGCACCAAGATACAGGTAAAGCATTGAATTGCCATAAGCGCCATTTTCTTGGTGCCAAAATACCTGGAAAAAAACGGCTTCATTTTCAAAATCCAGGTTACTACTCCTCTTTACCTTTACCTGCTCTAAGCCAGAAAACCTCACCTTAACTATTAAAAATCCTCCAGGTGAATGTCAATCCTAAAAGACTAAAATATAAAGCAGATGCCTAACTTTACAAAAAGCAACTAAATTTTTTCTGAAAATAGCATAATCATTGTCTTACAACAACTGCACTATGACGGAAAAGCTCGAACGAAATCTCCGTAGATTATAATCCTCGGCTACTGTCTAATCAATAATATCGGGCCTTCAAAAAAAAAAAAACAATCAAAGATTGCTATGGTTTTTTGAACGTATGTCTTAGCAATATTTTTCTTTAATTTTGTCAATGAACTTTAATGTCAAAATGTCACATCAAAAATCCTGACCAATAAAGAAACAGTAATGCGACATTCGTTTTCGTAATCAAAGCAATCTTCGATTGGTTTTTTTTTGAAGACCCGATATAATTAGACATAAAAACTTTTTTTTTTGGAATATTCACTATAATTCAAGTTACGATTCTCCTACGCGATGGAATCTGTTGAGTTAGCAGCATCGGCAGTACCAACTAAAACCAGGCCAGTCGTTAACCTCCAGCAGATGCACAGAAAAATACTAATTGTAATAAATGTATATAGGGTTTTTGTATCGATTAGTTTAATATAAATAGCTGTAATTATTTCAATAAAATCAGTATCCAACAAACCATTGTTGTACTCACTACAAACTCAATTACCCCTTGCGGTATTACTTTATGTTTGAATAGAGTCATCAGCGCTCAACAGACAGCTACCATTTCAAATTCCAAACTTCAAGCCTCGCCCGTTATGTGCTTATTTATCGGCGTTGTAACGTTAATAACAGGTCTAATGTGTCACTGTGGCATTTATTTATGGAAACTTTTTGTAATCAAAGCACTCTTCGATTTAGGTTTGTTTCGAAGACCCTATAGCTATTTCGGTATTGGGCGAAATTGGAATAGACCTGAATAAAAACGCTTGAATCTGCTAAATCCTATGTATTTGGTAATGAAAAAAGCATCAAAATGGAACTAAATAAATAATCACATCAAAACAAAATATAAAAAAATCACTCATTTTTATCATTTTCTGATTTCTCCTCCTTCTTTTTAAAAAACTTCTCTACAAACTTATTTTTCAACCTTTCCAGCAATTTTTTACGATTCTTCTTTTTCAAAATAAGCCGTTTTGTAGTTATATTGTGCAAAGGGCCGAAAGCCAAAGCCACCACAGTACACGCCAAACAAATAACGTTATAAGGCATACTGAAATCAGGCGTTGGCAAAGTAATGACCATATTTTCCGTACGAATTTGCACTAAATAACCCACCCTGGAAGCATTAAAGCTTCCAGTAATTGTTGAGGCATCTTGTGGCAATCCTGTATAATTTTTAGCCAAGGGTAAATAACTGCTTATTATGGCTGAGCCTATGTAAAAGCCATGATTAGCATCTGGAGGATATTCTTGCCATTTTAAGAAAACATAATCAAAGTCAATGGAAATTTTTGTTAGGGAACGCGGAGGTAATTTCAAAACAACCTCTAAATAATAAGGTTTCTCTCGTTGCTTTCCTGGCCCATACTTTAAAACACTTGGCTCAATTACTTGGTTGTTATTTGAAACGATTTTCAATGTGTGTAGATAAACAGGCACAAACCAAGCAATATTTTGCAATAAAACAATATCCAGGCTCTTCCAGTGGTTATTATAAATTTCGGTTACTATGCCACCTCTTTCTTGTCCGTAACCTGTTAAATATTGGCAGGCATGCAATGGCGGTGGGATATTTACATTAAAATCGAGATTATTTTGATATTTAGCACCGACACTTAAAAAGTAAGGTGGAATATCATATTTTGCAAACATTTGTTCTTGACCACCTCTTATTGAATAAATAACATCATCTGGTTCGGGTGTTAACTCGAAATCGTGAGAAGTTTTACTAGACAAATCAACAAAAATATTACTTCTACTCGCCAGAGGGCAGTTGCCATTCAAACCATGCCCGAACAATTTTTTGAACGACCAATTTTTAGTACCCATAATTGCATAGTCATAAACCAGCGATACAGATAACTGCAATTCTTGAGCCAATTTATCGCAAGCTTCTGTTGCGCAAATTTGACGCAAATGCAAACTTACGGAATGGTATTTGGTGTTGTGAATATAGCCGGAGTTTAGTAAAGAAGCCAGGCCTGATTTTGATTCACACGGAAGTAGTTTTTTGAAGGGGGTCAAGTTTTCAGTGCAGACTATTTCACGAGGCAAACTTGCATATCTAGAATTTGAGAAAGTTATTACATTTTCTAATATGAATGAACATTGTACCTTAAAAATGTGTTATTGCTTGATTCCACAATGCCTCTGGGCCGGAAAGAAAACTGCGGACTGACAGTGTTAGAGCCATCAACGAAATTAAATGAAGCACATAAAAGTCCAGATAATGAGTTTGAAAGTAATTTCCAATTTGTATCGACATTGTCGGTGTTGTGCTTAAACCAGGCCCAAATTTCTGCTCCAGGTGCTGCGTCCACAACTGGATAGCCCCACGTTTCGTATCGCCAAAGGCCTCCGGTCAAGCTGATGTGAAGTTCCTGGATGTTGAGTCGCTCTATTGTTTCACCTATTGGTCTTGGGAATAAATGACTGTGGTGATCTGGAAAAGAGAAATAGTGTGGTATAGTTAAATTGAATTTGAAAACACTAGCTTTGAGGTAGTTGTTCAAGTTTTTTGCAGTGTCTTGCAAAAATTGGAAAAAAGTGACAAGCTACAAGGGAAAAGTTTGGAAAACTGCAGATCTTCTTTTCCAAGCAGCATGTAACTAAAATCTGCGTTTTCCACTGTTCTCCATGAAAAAATCTCTGAAAAGGACATTTTTGTCTTTCAAGAGTTGATGTTAAGGTTATGCTCCTTCCGTGGAACACTTCACAACTCTCTCCAAGTCCTGGTTTGAATCAATTGCAGGGTATAAGGGATTTTAGTTCAGTAGAAGCTGGGGCTGGGTGTGCCTGTAAAGGAGGTTGTGAGAGACTATCTTCAATTCGCGCAACTTGAGATCCATTACATAAGTAGGACCTACAGAATGGAGTAGAAATCTCATCGATTCCACAAAAGGATAGTTTGGCACAAAACAGGTCACGGTCTATCAGGTCATTGAATAGCTCTGCTGTTGTTGATTTTGGAAAGAGAGGCTAGGAATTAGTTTAACAATAATTAGGGAAAGTCCTTGCAGACAAAAAAAGATAGATATATAAGTTTGGGGAGTTGGTAGGGCTTCTTGTTGGTACTGCGGTTGGTAATCTGGTTGTTTTTGATGGCACTCTGTATATAAAATAGGTACATATTTGAGTCCTCGACCATTCGACTGATGATAATGTGAATGTATATTTATTGTTAGGGACTGTCCAATCTCAGCGAAGTAGCAATTAGGAGTATTGCAGTCACCTTTGTCAGATTTAAATTACCTTTTTTGATATTATCTCTTGTATTGTCGTTTTCCTTCCAAATTTTTTCGAATTTTAAATAATACTATTTAGTACAGACCACGTCCCTATCAGCTTCTTCAAGTGGTGTAGAAAAATATACTTTTTATATGTTAAGTATTCCTTTCTGCCTTAGGATGTTTTGGGCTCTGCTGTAAGCATCACGCAGAAATTCACTGTTTGGGAATTAATTGGATCTTTTATAATGGTAGTCCCTAACCTGCGCTAGTTCATGCAGGTGTACACGTTAATTCAAGGGGCAATTTTCCTGCGAAATGGGTCTTTAAATGTTTTTATTGTGGTGTTATTTGAGTAAGTTCTGATTACATATTTCACTTCAGAAAATATAAATGGCATTCCACTTACAACTATTGAGATCAACAAGTTGCATTTCAAATTTAGACTTATGTATTTAGAATGGTCATTGAGAATTCATTTTGGGTCTTAGCTGGATTACTTTTAGTATGTAAGAGGTGCACTATCTATTGTCACATATATTTGCTTTTCAAATATCATTGGCATCTCCTCATCCTTGGAAATTTGGCAGGTTGACCCTCGTATTATAATAATGACATTATATGTCAAATGCCAGACAGTTTTAAGCAAGGTTGCTACACTCTAGTAGGTATGTACAATCTGCTGATTTTGATGTTAGGCAGCGTGACGTCACAAACGAAATTGAATATTTTATGTGCTTAGCTCTTTTTTTAATTGTGTTTTTCGAAAATAGTGACTTGTTTTGAGACTGTATTGCGCATTGCAAATAAAAAAGACAAAAAATTTCATTTATTAATAATTTATAAGAACTGACGAGATGCTGATGCCTTGTCAGGTGTGACGTCAAAAACGGATGAAGATAACATGTGTATACCTAATGGCATATCTACACCATTTTCAAATCCAAGCGTCAGTAAATGACATTAAATCACCTAAAATTGTAAACAAACACCAGCCTTTCTATTGGTTGAAATGCCCTACTTGGACTAGTGCGCATGCACGGAGGACATTTGATATATCCTATTCACAATCCGTAGCAAGAACTTTGTTTTGGTTCGAAATTTGGAACGGTTCTGGAATTGCGCAGAACTGCTTGCGCACAAAAAATAATAGAGAACTGTTCTACTACTAGTTCTGAACCGATTCGGAATGAAGAAAACCAAAACACGCCGTAAATCACAAAATTCCAAAACAGTTCCTTCTTCAGACCAAGAACTGCGAGAACCGTTCTAGAACAATTCTAGAATTGTTCATAAATAGTTCTAGATAAACCAAAACACTGTCAACACAGTTCGATTACGATTCTGAAAAAACGAAAACGCGTTTTATGATACGCGCATGTGCAGAATGATTCCGAACTAGTTCTGAGTGAAACCAAAACAAAGCTAACTATCTGACGCTTGTATAGGATGGTCAACTTTAGATGTCACTATTTGATAGCACATAATTAGAGATGGCAAATTCTTGAGAATTTATTTTGAGAGAATTTTCTCGGAGAATATTCGGGAAAATTGGAGAATTTTGGAGAATTTCGAAGAATATAACTTCTTAACATTATTTGGGGCTTTTTGCATTTTTATGGTATCTAAAATCACAAAATTGACATAGAAATTTTGTTTTCCTTATTTTGTCTGAAATGTTTCCATATCGAACTTCTAGGTTTCATTTTCGAAGGAATTTCCTCAAAACTAGTCTAAACTAATATTTAAGGGCCGGTTTATTCATCTCCTGATAAACTGTCAGGTTTGCAATCTGACGGATAAAAACGCAATCTGTAATCTCATTGGTCCGCCAGTTATCCGCCGACCAATAGAATTTTAGAACAGTACATTTATCTTGTAGATAGTTACCAGCAAGTTTATTTAAAGATGAATACCTAAACCCTCGCCTAAACCGGCCTAAATATGTAAGTTAAATTATTAAATATTTCTTTGCACACAATTTGCACTCTGCACAGTGCAGAAACAATGAAATAACTTATAGTCATGGCGCTTCCAGTTGGTAGAAATATCTAGTGCAAAGAAAATGTGTTTGTGTTTCTATGTGTTTCTTTAACAGGATGAGAGAAAGAGCTGGAAATACACTCAGTACTAATTCGCGCCCGTGCTACTAATCGAAAACGCCTAAGGGCTCGGGGTATTTACCGGATTTACTCGGTCATTATTCTTGAAACAGGGGAGCAGCGTTCCCCAGGAGAACAGCGTTGGCATAAAATTTCCCCAGGTTTTTTCAAAAAAAGGCGTGGTCCAGTGCACTGATGCCAAGTGCAATTATTAGGCCCGTTTCCACAGAAATCACAAACCAGTCAGAGCGAATTTCATTTGTTGAAAATAGTCAGAAAACTGGTTGTTGGCGATTTGCATCAATCAAAAACGCTCTGACTGGTTTGTGATTTCTGTGGAAACAGACCTATTATTTATATCGAATGGCTTGTTTTATTTTGTAAGGATATTTTATTTTTATAAGAAGTCATAATTTTTGTAATACTTTTGCTTAAGGTTTAAAGTCAACCAGTCAACCCCTATTTTCTGAACCTTGTGTTCAAAAATTCCAAAAAAAATATATGTGTTATGGTTATTGATATACTTTAATCCATAATTTTTTAAAGCAAATTTGACTCGCCATTTTTGAGTTATATCGCAAAAACTTAAAAAAAAGTGGGTTTTCACCATATATTTCAAAACGAATAGATGAAGTTTCCCGTTATTTTTATTACGAACTACTATTGCAATTCTACGCGACATATATTTTTTTCAAATTTTTTTGAACTTGTAGTTTTCTCGCTACTGCAAAAATAGTTGGAAATACGCCCGTAGCTACACTGTTTAGAAAAAAATCCGACAGATGAACGTTCAAAATTACTTGCCTTGGTAGAAACTACGACCCTGTTTATGTAAAACAGAATAATACTTTGAATTTCCGCCAGAAAAAGAAAAAACGTTCCATCACACAATTTAACCAAATGAAGATTTCTATTTTTTTTTGACTGACAAGTTAGGGCACACTGTAGGGGCGACAGCATTGACATCTCGCGTTGCTGTGATAAACTATTGGCCTGACTTTAAACCTTAAGCAAAAACCGAGGCAAAAACTAAAAATCAAATTTGGATAAAAACACGCAAACCCCCGGTAAGCCCGAAAAAACCCGAAAAAACCCAAAAAAACCCAAAAAACCCATAAAAACCCAAAAAACCCGACGGGTTGCACTTTTTCAAAAAAACCCGGGTTTTTTCCAACCCTGCAGGAGAACGAGTGTTCCGTCTTTGTTACTTATATTCGAGCTTATATTATCAGTTGCATATCATTGAGAAAGACGGAACACTCGTTCTCTTGGGAACGCTCCACCCCTGTTTTCCTTTCAAGAATAAGGACCCCGAGGCCCGGACTCACTGTATCATATAAGTAAAAAATTATATAACGCGTGTTCTTGCTGTACCCTGATGCAAAAATGTGTGAGACAGATATATCAACTTCGCATAAGTCTATCGCTCAGCCTGGTTTGGTCTATTGCGCATGCGTTGAATGCAGTTGAGGTGATTGGTGGGTTGTAAGCATGGTTTTTAGATGATCGATAATCTCGTTTTCGTAGTGGACGGACGATGCTCGACGACCAATGAGTGCTGTGTAATTTACTGTATTCCTTTTATACATCGAGTTACACCTAACGAGCTCCGCAGAGTCACTCCAAAACACACAATTCAGATTTCATCATTATTTTTTAATATTAACATTACCGTCATTACCTAAAAGGGCTTCTTGCACCCCCCGCAAATTTGGTGCATCAGGGGAAAGGGGGATGCACTATGAGCGACTCGAGTGCTTAACGCACTTTTAAAAGGAACGTTCAAGCTTTTGACATTGAGCGGCTCAGAGTCACTCAACGGGTAAAAGGAATTCAGTAATTATAGGCATGCGTAGATTTGACGGACCGAACTACAAAATAGACTTATGCAGAAATGATATTTCCATCTCACTCATTTTGGATCAAACGCCTCTCATTGCGTAAATGGAGTACACGCGTTATATAATTTTTTCTCGATTTTGATGTGAGAATGTCATTATTCCCGCACGCAAACTCATTGAAGAATGAAGCTCATTCTTCAACGATTTTTAGTGACATTTGGTTTTCAAAGTATACCTATTGGTACCTTCGAAATTGTCAAACCCAATGAACTATAGCTAAAAACTGGAATGCGCACACATGGCCATATCTGCCAAAAAAATGAAGCCATGAAAGACAGATGCAACAAGGGGGAATGTTGTTTTTTTCTGTTGCTCGCTGACATATGACGTTTTCGAAAGTTTTGTCATATTTTCCTTCACAGGTTTCATCAATTGGAATACGTGTTGGAAGCAATTTAACATAATGAGTGCGACAAAAACAGGTATCCCCTCCGCAGCAGCCGCACTAGGCTTCACGTTCGTCCTTATGTGTTCGCATTCCAGTTTTTGGTTATAGTTCATTGGACAAACCTTCTAAAATGATAGAATCCACCTGTCAGTTGGTTGGTAAGGAAGTGTCACCAACTGACATATTCTGCAAATGAAAAATCCCCAACTAAAAACGCCCACAAAAACAAAAAATTTAAAAATGAAGAATTAAATCCAAAATCGAGAAAATAGTATAAAATACACGTTGCAGAAGGCTATTCTCGGGAATATTTGGCCTTTTGCAACTTGTATTTTAATATACTATTACTTATTTGCACTGTTTTCTGTTTTTCATTTGAACCTAACCTCACTACGAACCTAGTGCCATCTGTATGTGCAAGGTGATAAATTTAAGAATTAGAGGTAAGAGGTAATTTCCCATAAATTCTCGAAAATTAACGTAGGTATATTCTCATACATTCTTGAACCTAAAAAAATTATAAATTCTATAGAAATTTAAGTCCAAAGAAAATTCTCGGTAAATTCTCTGTTCTCAATAGAAGTTCTTTGGAGAATATTCTCGGGACCATCTCTACACATAATTAATAAGAGTAGTTTGAGAGTGCCCTGTAATTCTTGTAGGCACAGGTTTGTTCAATATTTTAGAACCATTTGGGGCAATGCTATTTTAAAATATTTACTCTTTGCTGAGTATTATAATTTAGGAAATCTATATTGAAGTCCCCCAAGCAGGGTTGGAAAAAACCCGGGTTTTTTTTGAAAAAGTCCAACCCGTCGGGGTTTTTTTGGGTTTTTTGGGTTTTTTTGGGTTTTTTCGGACTTACCGGGGGTTTGCGTTTTTTTCTCCAAATTTGATTTTTAGTTTCTGCTTTAGCAAAAGTATTACAAAAATTATGACTTGTTACAAAAATAAAATACCCTTACAAAATAAAACAAGCCGCTTGATATAAATAATAGGTCTGTTTCCACAGAAATCACAAACCAGTTAGAGCGTTTTTGATTGGTGCAAATCGCCAACAACCAGATTTCTGACTATTTTCAAGGAATGAGATTCGCTCTGACTGGTTTGTGATTTATGTGGAAACAGGCCTAATAATTACACTTGGCATCAGTGCACTGGACCATGCCCTTTTTTAAAAAAACCCAAAAAACCCAATAATGGTGGGTTTTATCAATTGAAAAAACCCAAAAAACCCCACTGGGTTTTATAACCTGGGGAAATTCTATGCCAACCCTGCCCCCAAGATATAAGTTGTTCTTGTTTTATTACAGAGTGCTTTGAGAACATTGTCAAGTAAGTCAACAAAATCTTGGTAATGATAGTCTGGAGGTCTATAGATAACTCCTAAGGTCACAGAGTTGTTCACCAAAACAGTCAAGATGAAACAGTTTGTATTTGAAGAGTACTGCTGGATAAAAGAATGGTTACTTTTTATTAGGATTCACACACCTCCACCTCTCTTAGTTGAATTGTATCGTATCAATTGATATTGTAGTTCCTTACTTGTTTGGAGCCAAGTTTCAGTGATTAATATGGCGTCTGGCATATTGAGGCAATTAACTGTCCTTTCCAAATCCCACATTTTGTTTTCAACTGGACTGATTGGACTGAGCATTCAGATTCATTTTCAGATCAGATTTCAAAAATAACTTTTTTGTCATAAGGAACAATGTGTTAAAAAAGTTCTTTTTGTGTAAGGAAAATGAGAAAGGTCTCTTTCAACATATTGTTTCTTATGACTAAAACAGACATAATTTTGTTTTTTTCGAAAACTGTTAGAGATAAACCTATAAAACCCTATATCACTGAAATCAGCACAAACAGAGCCTTCTAATGGGTTATTATTATACAGGGTGTTCATTTTAAAACTTACCACCTCTATTATCTCGGAGTTGGAAAATTTTCGAAAAAATCCCTGAAACACGTCAACTATACTGGGTGTTTTTCAAAACCCGCTCACTCCTATAACTTTTTTATTTTTCCAAATAAACAAATGAAATTTGGAGTGTTTATTTATGACCCGGATGTGCATTATTTGACATATTCAATTATTTATTATCATTTCCCGTTTGACTGGAAGTGACCGTAACTTTCTTATTTCAAATGAGACGCCAGGTATATTTTCCCTTATTTCAATAGAAAACTACATTACGAGTACAATGACACCTCATTTGTCACTTTTTGACATTCCATCTCCAAATTATTTAAATTTTCACTTTTTAATCTAGAGCGCCATGAATTAGTTAAAATCGAGGTTAAAATGCTAAATTTTGCTCCAAGGAACCTGGGAAAATTTGTTTTGATCTTATTTTGTATTTTATATCCTCAACAGACTCATTTAAAGATAGTAGAAGCGCATTTTTGGAATTATATCAATTTTTTCAAATGGAAAGGGTATGGGCTCATTAGCATATTCAGAGAGATCATTTTCTAACGAACAATTTAGTACCACACAATCGCTAGTTTATTCAAATATTGAACTAAAATTTTCCAAAAATATTTAGAATGCTAGGAAAATTCTTCATTTGAGAGATGAACTAGTGATTGTGTGGTACTGAATTGCTCGTAAGAAAACGCTTTTTTGGAATATTGTAATGAGCCACACCCTTTCCATTTGAAAAAATTGTGATAATTACAAAAATGCGCTCCCACTATCTTTAAACGAGTCTGTTGAGGATATAAAATACAAAATAAGATCAAAACAAATTTTCCCAGGTTCCTGGGAGCAAAATTGAGCATTTCAACTAATTCTTGGCGCTCTAGATTAAAAAGTAAAAATTTAAATAATTTAGAGATGAAATGTCAAAAAGTGACAAATGAGGTGTCATTTTACTCGTAATGTAGTTTTCTATTGAAATAAGGAAAAATATACCTGGCGTCTCATTTAAAATAAGAAAAATACGGCCAGTACCGGTGAAACCGGAAGTGATAATAAATAATTGAATACGTCAAATGATGCATATCCGGGTCATAAATAAACACACCAAATTTCATTTGTTTATTTGGGAAAATAAAAAAGTTGTAGGGGTGAGCGTATTTTGAAAAACACCCGGTAGGTCTGTTCCAACACGTCAAAAACCGTCCCATGAACGGTTTCGAAACCACTCAGTGAAAGAATTTTGGTTTCTACCCACAAATTTTACGGTTTGTGCAGAATCGTGCTAAATCCGTCGCATCGCTTTTTGAACAACGTTATAAGTATTCCACAAATGTCATTGATAGGCCTTTTAAATAAAATGAAAAAATCGTTGAGATCTTACACACAACTTGTTTTATTCAATTTGAATATGTGCCCATTCCTATTGGAAAGGACACATAATGCATCAACATGCTCTAATTATTATTAGCAGTACAGCATATGACACCAACAGCCATCATCATGATCATCAGGATGGGTAACTTTTTGTGTACTTTAGAATCTTAAATGTAACTGGGTATATTATGGCGTTTTTGTTCGAAAATTAAATTACATCTGCAATGCCATATTTGTTGAGGCTTTGACACCCTGTATATTACAGAAATCCCACACAATCATAAGGTCTAGTGTTCTCACAGCAATCACAAACCATTCAGCGAATTTCATTGGTTGAGAATGAGAATAGTCAGAAAACTGGTTGTTAGCGATTTGCATTAATCAAAAACTCTCCGACTAGTTTGTGATTTCTGTGAGAACAGACCTAAAATCGTAATCAATTGCCCTTGGAGTTCCTAACTTTTGACTTTTGTGATTATTATTATTATTCATTTGGTTTATTTTTCCTTCTAAAAGAAGGAACTTATTTGTGATTTGGGACTTACCGTCTACGGACTTACCAATACTGAAGTTAAAAACGGCAAAAAGTTGGAAGTGGACCAAAAATGTATTAATTGAACAAGAATGTCCCTAAAGTAGTACCTAAATAGAATATTCAAGCTAGTAAAATAAATATGGTGGGTGATTTATGGAGAAACCTAGAGTAGTACACTGCTATAAGTACCTATAGACTATTTCCATTATTCTACTGTATTTTTACTTACAATTTTCATTTTTGGGGTCTATGTTCCAAGTGGTAGCGAACTGAAAGTGTGCATAGACTTGCTCACTAAACAATGGTTTAATTAGTAATTCTTCTGTGAAAGTGTCCTCCTGGATAGCAAATGTTGATGATTTAACATGTAGAAAGCAGTATAGCACAAATATAAGACGCATTTTCACTGATTTAATTCAAATTTTCAGAATCATCTTTGGAGCTACTTCTTCGGCAAATAGCACAAACATAAACATAACCAACATAACCTTAAAACTTAAAATGATGATGTCTTTTTTCTTCTTTTTCGTTGGTAAGCATGTCCAGTTGATATGTTCACCCCGGAGTTACACCGGCCCTTACAAAGTGACGTGATGGATACCTACCACTCGAATTTGAGCGGTATGTTGCGGTTTGTTAAACCGGAGCCACGTGAAAAGGGTTTTTGCTTTCTGGTAAGTAACCAATAGCGCAATCCAACGACCTGTCAAAATTAAATTCAAAATGGAGGCCAATGCCTTTTTATTTTAAAAAAATGCCATTTTATTGCGATTTTTGATTTGTATAAAGTCTGTAAAGTGTTGATTTTGTGGAAAATGCATACGTTATGTATTGTACTTAGTTGTGGGAGCCGTTCTAATCGCGAGAAAGTCTAGTTTCATGCCGTTCCTGCAGAGACAAAACACAGGTTTTCAACGGAGAAAAATGATTTGTCTGTACTTTGTGAAGGCTTCATGGATTGTAGCAAAAGAGAAAAAATCTTACGAAATTCATATTAAAAAGCCAAAAAGTATCTCTTCATAAATGGTGTATGGATCCAAGCAATTTACTATCCTCCCCTCCACTCCACATCAGCTTGTGTCGATACCTTGAATAGGTACCAGACAAATAAAATAAACATCAGGATTCAGGATTTGGTTGAGAAAAAACTAAACAGGAAACAAATACCTATAGTAACAACCTAATTGTTTAGTAGGTAAAGGTTTGTTACAAAGAAATCATAACTTTTCCAAACATCCGGGTTTTTCACTAATAATTTTCTATACTAAAAAATCTTTCTTAAACTTAAAATACGAAAATTATCCTTCGAAACACTATAAAATCATCTAAAAACACCACAAAATACACAAAAAACAGTTTTTTGATGAAAAATGTCACGGTTGTTTGAATTAAATTTATGGCGCCAATTTTTTGGCATTGACCATGCATTGACCGCCATTTTGTTTGGATTGCCCTATTCAAAATTCGTCTAAAAAGAAATCAAATAACAGCTTTTTTACCCTAGAACGCTCCGTGGGTCCATTATAACTTACAAGCTAATTGTTTATTTTTCCCGTGGTTTATTACGTTTACTGAACATTTGCTCCACCAAATAGGGCCCAACAAGGCGTACGATCGCCAGTTCTTGCGTGAGCAGCTGGTTTGCGGATGACGTCACAACTACCAGCCAGCATAGTGATGACATCACCCGTAGACCTCGTTCCGGACAGAAACTTTTCGCTTATCCCAAGAACTTACCTGACATTGACATCACAACCTCACAACCTAACTAATTATTTTGCACTTCCTTGTCTTCCTTGGCTAATTTATTATTTTTTGACCTTTTATGTCACAACACTACGAAAAACATTATTAAATAGTGAATTAATTTTTTTTTTTAATTATAAATAATGTTGCCAAATCTGCAAAGTAATTTTACGTAACACAAAATTATGGTAGTTAAAGTGAAACTGTTACTTTTCGCCCAAGCCAAGGATTTAGCAGGAAAATCGACCGACGTTTTGCTCGTACCCCAATCAATTGCTTGTTGCGACTTATTAAAAATCGTAATAAAACAATTTGCGTTGGAAAAAATCGAAAACAACATATTGCTGGCTGTTAACGAACAAATTTGCCACATAGAAGATTTTCTCAGCTTGAAAGACGACGACGAAGTAGCTGTTATACCACCATTAAGTGGAGGCTAAACCAGAGACATGTCTAACCATTTAGCTTTTAAAACCGAGCCCTTAAATATCCAAGAAATATCGGATCTAGTCGCAGCAGCCTCCTGCGGAGCCATTTCGCTTTTTATAGGAACAACAAGGGATAATTTTGATGGGAAATCAGTTGCTAATCTTCAATACGAAGCTTACGAATCCATGGGCCTCAAAGCGATGGAGAAAATCTGTTTAGATATCAGAAGACAATGGAGTGGAGTTGAGAATATTGCTATTTTTCATAGGTGAGATTCTTATTTTTGCATTAACCTACTAATATGCATTACCTATACATATTCACTTTTTCAGATTAGGCCAAGTTGCTGTTAAAGAAGCCAGTGTGGTAATTGCCATTTCCTCACCCCACAGAGATGATGCCTTGAAAGCTACAGATTTTTGTATAAACAGTTTGAAACAATCCGTTCCAATATGGAAAAAAGAAATTTATTCAGATGAGGATTCAATTTGGAAAGAGAACAAAGAATGTCAGTGGTCAAGTAATTATTTGGAAGCCTAACAAATTTGGTGTTAACGTAGTAATCCTAGTAGTTCATTAACCAATATGTAATTGAATATTTTATAATAATTATTATTAACAACAGCACATTAATAATATGACCATGAAAAAATACTTTGTGATATTATCTCAAATTGTTATATATATTTTTTGTTGTCTTTTTTTGGAAATTATACTCAAAGTTATTGTAATTTTGTTTTATTTTTAGCTCCCCTAGCTCATTATCCACCAAAACGTAAGAAAATAAATTTTGATATTTTCGAACAAGAAGTGTCCACAAACTACATACCATCCCATCTGATACAAATTAAGGCTTCAAACGATGAATTGAATGCCCGAATACAAAAGTTTATGGACAGAAAGAGAGATGAAATAAATACATCTAATAATACAGAATTTTTTACAAAACATAGAGACCAAGAGTCTGTTTGTGCCAGAATTGATGCTATTGTGCGTAAAAGAAAGGGTGCAAAAAGTCATTTGCAAGGTAATTTTAATGTTATTTTTAAATTCAGATTGACTATTTGTTTTTTATAGTTGAAAGGGCTTTAAATAGTTATCACAGAGACCAAAAAAATTCAGATTACATGAAAAAATACATTCCGCCTAATGGTATAGTGGAGAGACTGCAAATTTTAGAATCCCAATTGAGTTTAGAGAAAGCTATACCAAAAAATATTTATCAGCGATTGAAAAATCTGGAAGACCGTTTGATGCTTTTGGAAAGCATTTCTCCTGAATATATACAGTTTTGGGTTTGTTCATGCTATATTTTATTTGAAAAAAGTTGGACGTACATATTTTTTTAGGATAAAACTTCAATGGCAAGCAAGTATGTGAAGAAAAAAGTATTTGAAACAGCGGACATTGACATACTTATTGCTGATGCAGAGAAAAAATGTTTTAAGCAATAAATGTGAGAACGATTTATAGTCTATTTTTGTATATTTTCAAATATTAGAAGAAATTGGGAAATATAGAGTTTACTACAGTGTGTCCCTTTTAAGGACTGACCACCCTTCTAAAAATTTTATTTTTCAACCAACTTAATTTCATTTCTTCGGCTGTACGGGTGTACAGGGTATACACAAACTCTCTTTTCCTGTACTTTCCAATACACCTATGGAAAGACTTGCATGACTATTGTAATTGTAATGAAGTAGAGTACAGTTTATTTCATGCTCATAATAAAATTTCACAATCGTCGTACCTAATAAAAATTGATAATTATCTATAAAAGTCGAATTTCACAATCGTCGTACCTAATAAAAATTGATAATTATCTATAAAAGTCGAATTGACATGCCTATAAGAGATCCCCTTTCACACTTAAGATGTCTGTGGGGGTTCAGTACATATAAAAATAAAAGCGAAACAAAAAAAATAAAAAATACTAAAGCAAATAATACAAATAAATAGATAAATACTAAAAGGAACCGACTGCAACATCACAAACATAAGGTGGAGTTTTATTGACCAAGATCTGCCTGCAAAAATTCACTGAAGCTATAAAATACTCTCTCACACAGCCTATTTCGCATTTCTCACGAAAAGTTTCTCTGGTAGGGCTTTTATATCAGGTGGCAGTTTGTAGAAAAAGGCTGGTGCATGGTAGAGAGCTTGGTAGATAATTGATATTTTAGATCTGCTGAGTCTAAGAAAGGGAGTTTGCAAGTTGTCAGCTTGTTTTGTGTACGGACTGTACAGGGTGAGTCATTATATTTTGACACCTACCTACAGCCGTAATTACAGGTGATAGGTGAAAGGTGTAAATACAAAAGTTTTAGCATTTTATCTGAACCACCAGAATTTTTAATTAGATTGAATAGATGAGCAACACAAAATGAAAAAATATGTCAATGTTCACTTTTTTAAACGGAGTGCACTTCATTTTTTTAAGAATTCTTAAAACTCTCATTTTTCTGATTCAGATTATATAATATATTTATGTTTCTTCCAATAGTTTTGGAAATATCTGGAGTTTAGTTATTTAAAGACCTATTCACGTATCAGAATGTTTTGTGAACAGGTGACAGGTAAATCAAGGTAAAATATATTCAAAAAACTACTGTCCCTGAATAACTAAATTTCAGATATTTCCAAAACTATTGAAAGAAACATTTACATATCATATAATCTGAATCAGAAAATCGAGAACTTCAAGAATTTGGATGAAAATAAAGGGTATTCCATTTAAAAAAAGTGAAAATCGACATATTTTTTTACTTTGCGTTGCTCATTTGTTCAATCTAATTAAAAATTCTGGCGGTTCAGATAAAATGTTACAACTTTTGTATTTACACCTTTTACCCATCACCTGTGATTACGGCTGCAGGTGAGTGTCAAAATATGGTGACTCACCCTGTACATACCCATGTACAGTCTGTACTTGGCTGTACCTACCTAGGTTTTTTTTTGTGTATAAGAGGCATTCAAACATGAAGTGTGAAGGCAAGCTCAGCACCCGCAAGCCTTTAAAAGCGTTTCTCACGTCTACCTGTAACCAAGCCCCTCCACAACTCTTATTGCTTGTCTCTGCAATCAAGAGTCTTTCCGCTTGAGGAGCATGACCCCATGCCAGCAAACCATAGTTGCAGCTTGACTGGATTAGAGAATGAAATACCATTAAAATGGTCTTTTTATGAACTATAGTAGGTTTCTTAAGAGATATATTGACTTTGATAACCTTTTAGCAACAAAGTCGATGTGCTTGTCGCACATTAACGCAGGATACAAGTGAATCCCCAGAAAACTCACTGCTTCAGGTTCAGCAACATTCGTACCTTCTGTGGTCCTCAGGAAAAACACTATTTCCTCAGTCTAGTCCACATTGAGTTTCAGTCTGTTTACATTAAAAGATTGCCCCAGACCTGAGACCGCCCACTCCAACAGCCCCTCTCCAAGTCAATCAGACCATCACTTCTACATTTAGCAGTAGTGTGATCCGCAAACAGCACTACCCGGCCACCCAGAAATTTGTCAATATCATTGGCATAGATGATGAAGAGGAACGGTCCCAAAATTGAACTCTCAGGTACTCCATCTGGCACACTTCAGACCAATCACCATCCATCCACACAGATTTTTTGGGAACGTGCAATGAGATAGGTCCGAAGAAGTGCAAGACTCTTGTTGCATAAACCATAGAAATTAAGCTTTTGAAGCAGAATCTTATGGGATGTGCAGTCGAAGGCTTTCGAGAGGTCACAAAAGGTTAATCCAACTTGTAATCCCGCCTCAAACAAGCCCCCGACGACATACTTCAGTAGATCCAATATCGCCCCCGTGCTTGATCTGTAACCATGTTGAAAATGTTTAGGGATATGATTCTGTTCGAAATAACTATATATTTGGGTTTTCTATAGTTCCTCAAAAATCTTGGTGATTGTTAGTATTAGGGAAATTGGTTTGTAGTTGTTTATATCATTTTGTCACCTTTTTTCCAGATTGGTATTACTTTTCGAATTTTGAAACAAGTTGGTATATATCCTCCCTTATGCATAGATTAAAGAGTTTTGTTAATTAATTAATGAGATATTCTTTTATTTCTTTTAGGAGAGGTAGATATATTTAATTTAATATGCACCTATACTTATATTTTAAAGAATTCCACTAGTATATGACACGGTTGCTCAGGAAGCTCCTCCTTTTCTTTTTTTTAATTTTTGGTGGTGTTCTCTGAGATTGCGGTTCTGGTTTAAATTCAGATTACCTATACATATATTTCATCATAATGTCTGGCGAGTGGAAAACGCTGAGAATTTTATAGGTCTCTATTAGGTCACCTTTTTCTCTTCGTTGCTTTGGTGTTGGTAAATTTAATCTCTGTAGCCTGGTCTCCTGAGGTAAGTGTCTAATCTCAGGTGGAATTTTTGTTACTCTGCGTTGCATCCGCTCTAAAAGTTCGATGTCTTTAATATAGTAAGGGCTTCACACTGTATGGCCATATTCCAACTTGAGTCTCATGTAAGTGTGTTTATCGTGCTAATGGAGTGGTTTGCAAAGGCTAGTTTCATCAAGTAGGACATCTGGTTGGCCTTTTTCACTACGTGTACTAGGTATATACGTTTCCCATTTTAGATCGTTAGTTACATAGGTATAGACCTATGTCCTTCTATTATTTGACATTTTTTAATTCCTCATTGTTAATTTTGTACTGGATCATTGGGTTTTTGCGACCTATATGAAGCACTGTGCATTTTGCCTCGTGATGGAGCTTGAGTTGCCAGGTGCTTGTCCATTGCTCTATTGGTTGTAATTCTTCTTGGAACAGGCGTATTTGTGTCAGTGGGTTGCAAAAAAATTTGTTGTCATCTGCAAAGGCCTCGATGTTCGTTGTGGATGCTTTTTGCCCGGTCTGCTATAATGTAGATCGAAAAGAAAATGGAAGCTATGACCGATCCTTGTGGTACTCCACTCGTAGCTCTGTACAGATCTGAGTAGGTTCCGTTTGCTCTTACTTGGAAGTGTATGTCTCTGAGAAAATTCCTGTCCCACCGAAGGTAGAAGCCTCCGATTCCACCAGTGGCGTAGCCAGCCTTGCGGGGCGGAGGGGGCAAACACATAAGGGGCGCATAATTTTTTTGCGGGGGGGGGGGGGCGAGAGAAGATAACAAATGAATGTTTTTACTTTGTTTGTATGCTTTTGTAATATTTGCTTATTGAGGGAAAATATTAAAGAGGAATGGGGACAGAACGGGCGCTGCCGGAGGCGAAAAATTTCCTTGGGTGCTACGCCCAAAAAAGTTTATTTCCTTCAAAAACATTTCTTTTTTCGGGTGCCACGGTGCTACGCCGAAAAACATTTATGTATTTTAATCCCTACAAGAAATAATGTGTGGACATGTCGTTAACTTCAAAAAATCCTTCCGGACGCCTTGAAAACAAATCCGGGGAAATCCTGACGGATGACAGCCCCATCCAACCCATTAACCAATAGTTTAATGAACAAATACTATCAAAACAGAAACTATCTCCTTTCCTTAATGCTGACTTTCGATAAAGAATAAAGGGTGAAGAGGTCAATAAGATAAATAAGAAACAGCATAATTTTATAATTTCTTACTTCATGCTTTTGTTTTTTAAGAGCGGTAGGGGCGCCATCCGTGTAGGGGCGGGGGGGGCCGTCGCCCCCCCTGCCCCCCTACTGGCTACGCCACTGGATTCCACAGTGATCCAGTTTGAATAACAGCTTTTCACGAGGGACAGTATCGAATGCTTCTTGGAAATCTAGGTATAATATATTCACTGGGTTTCCCTGATCAGTTTCTTGGTAGAAAGCCGGTGGATGGTATAATATGTGTGTGTCTACGAGGAATGTGGTCATTTTACTTTACACAGTATGCGTGTCAGGCTAATTGATCTATAATTAGCCAGACTATACTTGTCGCCGCTTTTGTAGATTTCTGATAGGATACCCTCTGTAAGGGAACTGTTTGTAGGTCTTTTAAAGGTCAGTTCTTTTGTTGGAATCGGCAAGGAAATCGGCAGAGGCAGATCAGATCAGTTAAATCATCTTTCTTCTGCGGAATAAAAAATGTTTAAAAGTTATTGCTGAAACTAAAAAAAATCCAGAGCTATAGGATTGCTTACTGGATAATTATAGTCATAGATGGATTACTGAAGTGCTGTGGAGCAAAAGTGGACTATTATAGGTATTTATACTGTAAAGTTATTTTCCCATGGTACTAAACCATAAAATACCTAAATATCCTCGACATGTACCGTCGGCAAAAATGGCTAATTGGCCCGATATCCGCACCCTGGAAAGATCATTTATTAAAAATAACAATTTTACCAAGACAGACCGCTGGGGAACAGCGCGATGCAAGCTTTGACAGAACTATTCCATGATCCACATAGTCGAAGGTCTTGAACAGATCACAGAAAGCCGCTGCCGCAGCATGTCTTCTATCAATATGGCGGTGAACATTTTCCAGAAAATTAAACAAACCATTATGAGTGGTACCTTTGGAGCTCTGAAAACCCAATTGCTTTGAAGTAATTATATTAACCTATTCACCTGGAGGTAGTTCCACACCTTGTTTTTTACAACTATTTTCAACAATGGTTGGAAGAGTGGACAGCAAACAAATTGGTCGATAGTTAGATGGTTCTCATCTCGTTGATCGCCCCCCTTATGCAAAAGATTCGGAAACATATACCCCTTCCATGTCAGTTATTTGCATCAGCAAAACCATCCAAAGCATAATCAGTAGTTGTAGTAACTTCATAAGCACCTCAACGAAAATTCCGTCGTCACCTGAGGATCTCCTCTTTTTGATGTCATCAAGAGCCTCTTCAACCTCATGAATATCTGTGGGCAAAAAATTAAACTATCCTGGAAAAAATAGGTCATCAAGGTTAAACATACTTAGATAGACATCTACATATATTATATGTAACATAAACTAATAACTAAACTAATAGTAATATACCTACATACATACAAAAAAACACGCACGAAATACATTAATCCATAAAAAAATATAGGAACTAGGAACTGAACTTTTCTTGCTTTAAGTGCCGCAAACTCTGGTACAAAAGGTGCATGAATCCAGTATTTTATGCTCAATTGAAATAATGGCTAACTAAATCAGTTGAGCCTTTTCTTGTGCCATTGTAGATCTTAAATAATTTCTTATTATTTTTAACTCACTAAAGGGCCTCTCACGAAAGTCCTTATTCTTGAAACAGGGGAGCAGCGTATTTCCACGAGAACGAGTGTTCCGTCTTTGTTACTTATATTATCATTTGCATATCATTGAGAAAGACGGAATATTCATTCTCCTGGAAACGTTGCTCCCCTGTTTCAAGAATCAGGACCCAACTATAACTAAAACTGGCAACGTAACTAATATTCTTAAGGCCATTGTAAACATTTGGAAACGTCGATATGAGATAGGTATTCTCAAAAAAATATTGGATAAATAAATAAAGGTTTTATTAAGCAAAATAATGCTACTTAGTACATAATATCGTCGGTCTCATGACATAAAGCCCTATCTCGTTGTTCACAAGTTTTCAGCAGCAGAGGAATTTTAAAAAAAAAAACTAATATCTTTACGCCAACAGAATACAAAGAATATCGATTTTCGAACTCTTTTTTTTTGGAATTATGAACACAAAACGCCAATAAACTATGTAAGCTTTTCGTCAAATAGGTACCACATTTCAAAAGTAGGTAATTAACGTTTTATGCTGTAATAAACTGTTCATATTTGAAGATAGGGCCATGTGTTTTCACTGTTTTCTCACTTTTTTAACGAAATGAACTGATTTCATGAGACCGACGATATAGTCCAGGAGGCAGTGAAATTTTTTAGCACTTATTTTCCCAGTTGATGTATATTAAATAGTTTGTTCTCTTGGTGATAAAAAACAAGAATATTTGAGTTTTGCAAAAATTTTCGGATGGGTTCACAAGATCACTGAAAAATACAAGTATACTTATTTTCCCAGTCATAAATATTTCACATTTACTACAATAGAACATAAAGTATTTGAACATAGCAATTTGGCTTATCTCAGATGGTGGAAAGTTAGTCTGGCTGAAGATTTTCGGATCTTCAATTTTTCCCTTGCCAGACATATTATCCATACTCACAGATTAACCGCACTATTTTTTCACGTAACTTCAGTATACTTCTCTTTAATAGAGCTATTTTGATCACTGAAAAAAAAAGGGCCGTGCATTCGTAAGCTCTAACGCGTTTTGTGCCTCAACCCATCGGAAACCCTAAATATATGTGAATTTTATTTAGAATTACTAACCCTACAATTCTATCCATGTTTCGTGACTGGGAAAATAAGTACCGAAAATCATCACTGCCTCCTAGACTAATATATTGCAAGAATATTTGAGGGTCCTTTGAAGTCGGTATTGCAAAGTGTGAGCGCAAAACCTTATTTAATTGAGTTCAATCCCATCGTCTGGACTCTTCGCGAGACTCATATGAGTCATATGTTGAAGTTTTAGATGTAAATATTAGCAGTATTTCAGTTGTCTTCATCCCAATGACTGCTTGCTTATACGTTGATGAGAAAACCAAAAATGTTGGTAAATATTTGGAGTTCTTCAAACCTGATGCGAAAGGATGATGTTTGATCCAAAATCTGGTAAAAGAATTCAACATTAAAATTAGCTTTAGAATCCAAAATAAGATTATATATTATTATAACATGCAATTGGTAATTTGAGCGCTCCTACGAAGGATAGGCTTTGGTTTTTTTAGTAATGTTGGGACTACGTTTCTGTAGCCCAAAGCTGCACCATTTTTTGAGCAAAATGCTTTTCTTGACCAGATTTCTTAGGAGAGTTGAGCCTTGCTTTAGGCAAAACCTATCCTATATAACGTCAGTTTCACTGTTCGTGGACTTAATGATAATGCGTCGGTCTTATTAGAAGAAATTTCTATTAGACGAATTTCATCAGGGATATTTTAGTTTAGACCATTGGTTTAAACAATAAAACTTATAGAAAACGTTTCGCGTGCACGTGATATAAAATTCATATTGCTAGATCCTAGATCATTGAAATTATGTCCAGTTTCAAGGATGTGTTTACCTATTTAGTACTACTGGCACTCTTTTTTACGTTTGCTTGAGTTCCTAATCTTATTATTCATACAGTTTTGCTTGAACGCACTATTAAGGCATGTTCATGTTAGACTCCCTGGCAATCATTCACAGAGTTCACAGTTCAAAACAGTGTAAGGTCAACAAAATCAGATTGAAGAGAGAATCCAGGGGCGAGACGAGAAGCGACACTTATTATCTCTTATCTCAGGATACAACTTAAACATATTGCTTTCAGTATTTCAGGTATGATTCAATCCACTCGACTGTAACAAATACGATCGAATGCTTTTGTAGAGGGTGTCCACCAGGAACCAATCTTCATCTGCATTCACTATTTAATTCCGAAACGAAACACCCCGAGATTTGAAGGTTGATCGCCTTTTAAATGCTCGTCTGGGGACATATACAGACAGGGCCCAGGCTTTCTAGACACATAGGATTCAATGGGACCATTTCACTGCAGGATCGTCGCGGTGGATCATTAATCGTCCCTGCGTGGCCGCATCGCCTCGATTCGCCCAAACCGGGTACAAGCTAATTCGTCTTATGTGTCTAGTAGGTTGGTACGGTCTGTATACATATAATGATGTGCATATACTGTTTGGGAGATGGCATTTTGTCGTCAGCACTTTTTGAAGAACGCTGAGGCCTGAATGTTTGTTGTTTTCTATACCTTGGAAATTGTTGGTATATTCTGCAGTGTAATGTTTCTTATTTGATTCTTCGGTTCGTTTCCTATTAATTTGTTCTTGTTGAGCGATCATACAGTATTGTGCCAATAAGTTGTGATTTTTTGCTGGAAAGAATTTGTATTGGTACTAGAATTTACGTGTTCCGAACTGATCTTTTAAAGGGGGTGTGACCCAAAAATGAAAATTTTAGTGCAAAAAAATCTAAGAATAAATATTTAAACCGCATCTTGCTACGATGGTCCGTTTTCGAGTTAGACAATTATCTTCTAGAGCGAATTGCAACCACTCAAAGTATAGGGTATTGTTCACTAACGACTAAACGAACAGACGACTGTGATTTCAGCGGTTGTGACATCACAAGTTCCTGCATAATTTATCTTCACAAGGAATTTTCTCGGAGACTATTTTGAATATAGGACTGCGGTTTTCACGAGAGATCTTAGATTTTTATCTTGATTTAAGTAGCTTAAGTCGTTTTTTGGGTCATACCCCCTTTAAGTTCTTGTATTTCTTCCCCGCATGTTATTACGAAGATAAGAGTCAAAAGAAATAAACAAATATTTATATAATTTATTTGACGAAAGCAAATTAAACTATTCTGCCGGTATGAGACTGGAAACAACTTTAACAATATTTTCCCTATTCAAAGGACATTTCGAATAAGTCGAACTGCACTTGTCGATGTCTTCTAATTGGCCGGTTTTAATAGCTTCTTTAATCGCTGAACCGTCAATTGCGTACGAAAATAATGGGTTTCTAAAATTTTACAAACAAGAAAATTAAATAATAGGCAATTTATGAAAAATCTTACTTTGTGAATGAAGCAACAAATTCATCAAATGCAGTACTCTCGCCAGCTTTTTCATTTTTCATGGCGTCATTTACAATATTACAAATCATTCTTTGCGTACACGAAGTACTGTCTATATTGTTCGCTTCTAAAGAATTGTCTATTTTGGATAAAAGATTGGTAATTGTGGACATTTCATCTTCCAAACCTTAAAAAATAGATCATTAATAAATGACATGAGTAAATGAAACTTTAAATTTGTTACTTCGTCTATAGCCTCCATGTCCCATAGCAAATACTTGAGCGATTTTTGGTATAATCAAAATAGCTCCTAGTCCTATTAAAGCTCCTAGTGCAACACCTCCAATGTCGATTTTCATTGATCCATATCCAACTCCAGTGGTTCCATAACCATTACCATTACCAGAAGAACCATAACTGATGCTGCCAAACCTGGACTCTTTTGAGTCTTTTTTGGACTCGGCTATTGTTGGTTGGGCGTAAGTTTTATTTTCATAATATTTTTGACGAGTGAGGTCTGATTCGTAGTATCTATTGCTAGGATTGAAGCTTCTAAAAATAATTAACATGTACCTAATTCTTATTTGGAGATGTTTCAAAAAAAAATCTTACCCATCGTCCATTTGGTATTTTTTTGCATCCACATTCCCAAAAATACCTAAACACAATAGCAGAATTATTATTTTTGTGTACATTTTTTTAGGACCTGAAAATGTACTTTAGGGGTTCAATTTGTTGTTTTTCTTGCAGGATGTATGATAAGCAACTGACAATATAATCAAAATTTGTTTTATATATAATTCATTCTTTACAGGCAAATGGCCAAAAACAATAACATATTATTGTCGCGTAGTGAGCACAATTACGTTAAAACAATACTGTAATATTGCGCGCACCGGGTTAAGCAACTTTATTACAAAAGGAAGATGTAATCCAGTTTCGCTCGTTATTATTATAGTAAATATGTAATAATTCAGGAAAATTGCTTTGTGGTTTTCACTACTTTGAAGAAACATCTAAGTATATGCGTTTCATAGAATTCAAAATTCTAATTGTTTTGTTTTGAATTTGAATGTTTTGTCAAATTGGTAGTAAAACTAAAATGAACTTTAAATATTTTCCATTTTGTTGCTTTGCCATCAGGGCTTATTTTTTATTAGGACCACAGTGGCAATGCAAAGTCATCTATCAGCATTCGAGCCTCTCTCTCCTCCTAGAGTGATTAGATTCAATCTGCCAAGCCTTTAAGATAATCTCATTGGAAACGTCTTTAGAATGTCTTATTCTTAAAGATAAAGACATCTTTAAGACGCGTTAAAGACGTAAGCAAGACGTCTTAAATGTCGTTTGTGGATATCTCATAGGGACGTCTCAAGATTGCTACAAAAATTTCTCAAAGAATTAGTTTCTCAATGAATTTTGAAGTCAATACTCGAAAGCTATAGAACACCTTAGAACTTTATTAGGTCTTTTGGAAACTTCAAAACACTTAAAATTCAATTCAGAATTTCTAAAAGCATTCTGGCTCAAGAAAAAATATCTAATGGATCAAGATCCACAGATAATCAAAATTTGCACTATTACTGGCTCTTGATTCTTTGGAAAACCTTCCTAGAGCCAATCAAGTAATAGTCAAAATTTGAACCTTATCAACTCTGGATTCGCTAGAAAATTTTTCTAAGGGCATTCAAAGCTCAAGAGACAATAATAATCAAAATTTCGAATGATCATGAGCAGCTCTTAAGTTGATATTAATCAAAATGTCTTCTTTCGCAGGTTCTAATTGGCTCAAGAAAAAATATCTAATGGATCAAGAGCCACAGATAATCAAAATTTGCACTATTACTGGCTCTTGATTCTTTGGAAAACCATCCTAGAGCCAATCAAGTAATAGTCAAAATTTGAACCTTATCAACTTTGGATTCGCTAGAAAATTTTTCTAAGGGCATTCAAAGCTCAAGAGACAATAATAATCAAAATTTCGAATGATCATTAGCAGCTCTTAAGTTGATATTAATCAAAATTTCTTCTTTCGCAGGTTCTAATTGGCTCAAGACAAAATATCTAATGGATCAAGAGCCACAGATAATCAAAATTTGCACTATTACTGGCTCTTGATTCTTTGGAAAACCTTCCTAGAGCCAATCAAGGGCCGGTAATAGTCAAAATTTGAATTTTTATCAACTTTGGATCGCTAGAGAATTTTTCTAAGGGCATTCAAAGCTCAAGAGCCGATAATAATCAAAATTTCGAATGATCATGAGCAGCTCTTAAGTTGATATTAATCAAAATTTCTTCTTTCGCAGGTTCTAATTGGCTCAAGAAAAAATATCTAATGGATCAAGAGCCACAGATAATCAAAATTTGCACTATTACTGGCTCTTGATTCTTTGGAAAACCTTCCTAGAGCCAATCAAGAGCCGGTAATAGTCAAAATTTGAATTTTTATCAACTCTGGATTCGCTAGAAAATTTTTCTAAGGGCATTCAAAGCTCAAGAGCCAGTAATAATCAAAATTTCGAATGATCATGAGCAGCTCTTAAGTTGATATTAATCAAAATTTCTTCTTTCGCAGGTTCTAATTGGCTCAAGAAAAAATATCTAATGGATCAAGAGCCACAGATAATCAAAATTTGCACTATTGCTGGCTCTTGATTCTTTGGAAAACCTTCCTAGAGCCAATCAAGGGCCGGTAATAGTCAAAATTTGAATTTTTATCAATTCTGGATTCGCTAGAAAATTTTTCTAAGGGCATTCAAAGCTCAAGAGCCAGTAATAATCAAAATTTCGAATGATCATGAGCAGCTCTTAAGTTGATATTAATCAAAATTTCTTCTTTCGCAGGTTCTAATTGGCTCAAGAAAAAATATCTAATGGATCAAGAGCCACAGATAATCAAAATTTGCACTATTACTGGCTCTTGATTCTTTGGAAAACCTTCCTAGAGCCAATCAAGAGCCGGTAATAGTCAAAATTTGAATTTTTATCAACTCTGGATTCGCTAGAAAATTTTTCTAAGGGCATTCAAAGCTCAAGAGCCAGTAATAATCAAAATTTCGAATGATCATGAGCAGCTCTTAAGTTGATATTAATCAAAATTTCTTCTTTCGCAGGTTCTAATTGGCTCAAGAAAAAATATCTAATGGATCAAGAGCCACAGATAATCAAAATTTGCACTATTGCTGGCTCTTGATTCTTTGGAAAACCTTCCTAGAGCCAATCAAGGGCCGGTAATAGTCAAAATTTGAATTTTTATCAATTCTGGATTCGCTAGAAAATTTTTCTAAGGGCATTCAAAGCTCAAGAGCCAGTAATAATCAAAATTTCGAATGATCATGAGCAGCTCTTAAGTTGATATTAATCAAAATTTCTTCTTTCGCAGGTTCTAATTGGCTCAAGAAAAAATATCTAATGGATCAAGATCCACAGATAATCAAAATTTGCACTATTACTGGCTCTTGATTCTTTGGAAAACCTTCCTAGAGCCAATCAAGGGCCGGTAATAGTCAAAATTTGAATTTTTATCAACTCTGGATTCGCTAGAAAATTTTTCTAAGGGCATTCAAAGCTCAAGAGACAATAATAATCAAAATTTCGAATGATCATTAGCAGCTCTTAAGTTGACAGTCAAAATTTCTTCTTTCGCAGCTTCTAATTGACTCAAGAAAAATTATTCAATGGATCAAAAGCCACATATAATCAAAATTTGAACTATTACCGGCTCTTACTTCTCTGGAAAGCTTTCCTGGAGCCAATCAAGAGCCGGTAATAGTCAAAATTTGAACTTTTATCACCTCTAGATTCGCTAGAGAATTTTTGTAACGATATTCAAAGCTCAAGAGCCGATAATAATCAAAATTTCGAATGATTATTAGCAGCTCTTAAGTTGATAATAATCAAAATTGTTAAAAAACCCAGTAATCAGCCAGCCTCGGAACAATCAACGGATCAAACGAAGACGACATAAGCTACGAAAACGGACAATGAACCTGTCTACTTGGAACCTGCAAGGTTGGACAAACAAAATAAACGAAGATATCTACGAACTCCAGAAATCAGACATTGCTCTGGCTATTATAACGGGGACAAAAAATAAAGGCAAAGTTTTTGAGAACCTGGGACACTTTGACCACTTCTATAGCGGTGTTTCTAAAGATAAACGTGCCCAATAAGGCGTATCTATCAGGGTCTCAAAAAAACTAGAAAGTGCATAACTTCATGGGATCCTATAAGTGAGAGAATCATAAAGATGAACCTGACACTAAATGCTCATAAAATCACGATATTGGGAGTATATGTACACGGTGTCCCAAAAAGATACCGACAAACTTTAAGGGGTATTAGGGGACATCAAAGCAAGCATTTTTGTTTATATAAACATATGTCCGCAAATGAGTCATTTGGACTGTAGAGCAAAAAAACTGTTTGATACTTTTATTCTTCGCAATAATTAAATAATTACAATAATGGTTCAAAATGTTGACCATTTACTTCAATGCAAAGATTACACCGTCAGGTCATTGACTGAAAAGTTTAGTCTACGAAACACCTGTTCGTAATGAGGAAGATCTGATAGCAAGGATACTGGCGAGTTGTACCCATGTATAAGCTATTCCCAGAATATTACAAAGAGTTTGCGAGTTGAACAATTATTGTAAACCATAATTTATTTGCTATTAAAGCAAAATTAATAAGTAAACAGTGATTTAATTATTGCAAAGAATAAAACTAGATACCAAATAGTTTTTTTGCTCTACAGCCCAAATGGCTCATTTGCGGACATATGTTTATATAAACAAAAATGCTTGTTTTGATGTTCCCTACTACCCCTTAAAGTTTGTCGGTATCTTTTTGGGACACCCTGTATATGCAGTTAACGACGATGCACTGGTAAACCGGAAAAACGATTTTTTTGAACAACTACATCGATAAATAACCAACATAGGAGACACACGTGAGATAAGGAGACTTGAAAAGCAGGACGGGAAATAAAACTCGAGACAAGGTGATTGATTGGTCAATATGGAGAGCAAACTGTAAACGATAATGGGCAAAGGCTATAATAACACTTTGTGGGCAAAACGACATGCGAATTATGAATGAATTCTATCCACACAAATGGATACATAAATATACTTGGACAAAACCATCACAAAACCTAAAATCCATAAATGACTAAAGTTTGTTTCGCCAGGGTTTGTACTTGCCACCAGCATTTGCCTTCCTTGTTTAACAAATAAACATTGACTGAAACAAATCAATGACGTCAAAAAGGTACGTCGGTTCTTAAACCAAAAGTCATTCATTTTTATTTGTCAAAAAATTGAATGTGTCATATGAATTAATTTACGACAACCCATTTTTTTCAAGATTCAAGGTCAAGTATGAACCCTGGTGAAACGGACCTTACGTGATAGTGGAAAAAAAAAACTTTAAGATCTACGATGTCAGATTTCACAGAGGACCAACCTGTGGCAGTGACCATTAGCTTCTAAATGCCAAAATTGCTTTTCCTCATAAAGAATCAACAAGTTGAAACTGGGAAGCTCCAACCCATCAAATATAACCTGGAGAGCTTGGAACATGAAAGTACTATATTCATATACATCTATATAAGAAAAGACTCGATGTAAAGTTTCGAGTCGAAAATTTCCAAAGCACATGAG